TAGAGTCATAAGAGATCAGAGACACACAGTTTAACAAAATCAGAAAAACAATTCAAAAACAAAATGCAAAGTTCAATACATAGAAAGAAACATAAAAGAGCCAAAAAGAATTTTTGGCAGAGAATACAATGTATGAACTGAAGAATTCCATAGAGAGCTTCAACAACAGACACGACATCTGCCCACTGGTAGGCCCAGACATTGCCAGGCTATACGCCACTCTTACAGCTCAACAATAGACATGACCCATGAGGAGAAAGAATCGGTGAAATCAAAACCAGATCATTTGAAATTATCCAGGCAAAGTTGCAAAATGGTAAAACAATGAGAAGGAATGAAGAAAGCTTATAGGACTTATCTGACACTACTAAAAATAATAAAAACTCAAACAAACAAAAAAACACCCCAGACTACACTTTACGGGAGTCCCAGAAAGAAAAGAGAGGGAGGAAGGGTCAGAAAGCTTAGTAAATTAATGGCTGAGAACTTCCCAAACCTGGGGAGAATTTTGGACATCCAAGTTCATAAAAACTCACTGGTCCCAGAGAAATTCAACCCGAAGAGACCTTCGAAAAAACACAGTATAATAAAAGTGTCAAAAATCAAAGACAAAGTGAGACTCCTGAAAGCAGCAAGAAATAAACGCTCGTCACCCACAGAGCACCTCCATGCGGCTACAGCAAATTTTTCAGCAGAAACCTTACAGGCCAGAAGAGAGCGAGATGATCTATTCAAAGTGCAGCAGATAAACTGCCCACCGAGAATACTTCACCTGGCAAAGCTGTTCTTCGGAAATGAAGGAAAGATAAAGAATGTCCCAAACAAAAGCTAAAGGAGTTCTTCACCACTAGACCTACCATACAAAAAATCCTGGAAGGAGTTACTCAAGATGACATGAAAGGATGCTAATTACTACCAGGAAACATGAAAATCATTAAGGTTAAGTATGTAGTCAAATTCAAACACTCTAATACTGCAATATGGTGGTGTATTATACTGTAACTATAAAGTTTAAAGGACAAAGTATTAAAGATAACAATAACCACAATAACTTGTTACGGATACACAATACAAAAAGACGTGAATTCATTTTATGTAAGGTTCATGGTAACCACAAAGCAAAACCTACAGTAAATGCACAAAAATAATGAGAAAGGAACCAAAGCATACCACTATGGAAAAAAATCATCCATTCATAAAGGAAGACAGAAAGAGGTACAAAGGAGCTATAAAACAAACAGAAAAGAGTTAAGTTGGCATTAGGAAGCCTCTGCCTATCAATAACTACTGTAAATGGATTACATTCAACCATCAAAAGGTACACAGTGGCTGGATGGATAAACAAGACACAATTACATATAAGCCATCTATAAGAGACTCACTTCAGCTTTAAGGACAACACATGGATAAAGATATCCCACACAAATGGAAACCCAAAGAGAGCAGAGGGAGCTATACTTGAATCAGACAAAGTAGATTTTGAGTCAAAAACTGCAATAAGAGACAAAGTCATCCTAACAATAAAAGGGTCAATTCATTAAGAGACTACAATATTTGTAAATATATATGCAACCAATGTCAGAGCTGAAGGGCCCCCACCAGTAAGATGGAGAACTTCCGGCTTCTCTTCCGGGTCCTCGGTTCCCAACGGCGCCACCTGAAGACCAATCACCTCTCTCCCCCCTCCCACTCCCAGCACCTAGCCAATAGCCACCAGCCCCATAGAAGTAACACCACAATCACCCCATGCCCCTTCCTATATAACCCAGCACCTTTCCCTAATAAAGTGGATTTCTCCGGTGAATTGCTGCTGTGTGTCGCTTCTTTCCTTTCAAGAGTACATATATATGAAGTAACTACTAACAGATCTGAAGGGAGAAACAGACAATACAGTAATAGTCCAGGATTTCAATACCCCATTTTCAATTATGGATAGGTCTTTTGGACAGAAAATCAGTAAGTAAACACTAGACTTGTACCAAATGGACCTGACATACACATAGACCATTCTACCCCATAGCAGCTGAATATACATTCTTCTCAAGCACACACACAACGCTGTCCAGGATAGATCATCTATTATGCCACAAAACAAGTCTTAACAATGTAGAAAGACTGAAATCATATCAGGTATCTTTTTATACCACAAGGGTATGAAACTAAAAATCAGTATCAGGAAAACTGAAAAATTCACAAACATGCAGAAAATAATCAACACATTTCTGAAAAACCAGTGGGTCTAGGTCAAAGAAGAAATAAAAAGGGAAATGAAAAAATATCTTGAAACAAAAGCATGTGGAAACAGTAAAATCCAAAATACAAGGAATTCATACAACTGAACAGCAAAAAACAATCTGATTAAAAAATGAGTGAAGGACTTGAACATTTTTCCAAAGATATACAAACGGCAAACAAGTACATGAAAAGATGCTCAACATCATCAATCATCAGGGAAATTTGAATCAAAAGCAATGGGAAGTCACTCCTTCCAGTCCGAAAGGCTATTAGAAAAAAGACAAAAAATAGCAAGTGTTGGTGAGGACTGAGACAAAAGGGACTGCTGGTCAGAATGCAAATTAGTGTAGCTACTATGGAAAAGTGTGAAGGCTCCTCAGAAAATTAAAAATAGAACTACCATATAATCCAACAATTCCACTGCTGGGCATTTATCCAAAGGAAACAAAATTACTATCTCAAAGACATACCTACACCTGTGTGTTCAGTGCAGCATTATTTACAATAGTCAAGACATGAAGACAACCTAAGTGCCCACTCATGGATGAAGGGATAAAGAAGCTGTGGGACATATATACAATGGAACATTATCCAGCCATAAAGAAGAAAGAAATCCTGCCATTTGAGACAACATGGATGGACCTTGAGGGCACTATGCTAAGTGAAGTAAATCAAACACGGACAAATACTGTATAACCTCACTTAGACATGGAATCTAAATAACTAAAGTCATAGAAAGTTTTAATTTTTGATGAAGTTCAATTTATCAGTTTTTTCTTTTATGAACTATGCTTTTTTTTTTTTAATCAAAAAGAAAAGACTGAAAAAAAAAAAAACAGACAAGTGGTTGCCAGAAGCAGAGGGTGGGTGGGGTAAGTGGGAGAAGGTAGTCAAAACGTATAGACTTCCACTTATAAGTGTAAGATAAATTCTACCCGAAATAAGCAGGCAAAGAGAGGCAACAAAGGGCCAAGTAATTTATTTGAATGCCCCCGGGCGAGGTTCTGCGGCCGGCTGTCACAGGCCAGGGAAGTCACGTGAAAGTAGACAGACAGCGAGTTTTTAAAGACGGTAGGGGGAGGGAGAGCTTAGATTTACAGTGGCACAGGATTGGCTAGCCCAAGGCACATTTTTCAGGTTGGGAGGGGGCAGCAGTCGGGGACTTTGGCACGTCATCAGTGCCTGATGTGCTCACCCCTCCTCCCAGTGCCTTCGATCTTACAATAAGATTATCGAGTTCTGTTGATATACTGTACAGCATGGTAACTATACTTAATAATACTGTAGTGTATATTTGAAAACTGCTAGGGGTAAATCTTAAAAATTCTCAACACAAGAAAATAAAAATTTGTAACTGTGACAAGATGGATTTACTGTGGTAATTGTTTTACAATACATACACATATCTAATCATGTTGTACATCTTAAATAATGCAACGTTATATGTTAATCATATCTCAATAAAACTGTGGGGAAATTTTTTAAAATTAGTTCTCACAAAAATTTGCATACCATTCACTGTTTACTACTACTTACTACCTACCCCACAGAACTGACCCGATGTTTGCTAATACTCTCAAAACTCAGTGTAAAGATCACTTCCTTAGGGAGACCTTCTGTGATGCTAAAGTCAAAAAGTTATTCTGAACTTTATGTGGAAAGGCAAAGAAACTAAAATTGCTAAAGCAATTTTGCAAGACAATAAAATGGGAAAAACCAAATGGCTCAATTTCATGACTTATTCTATAGCTATTAGTATTCAAAACTGGCAGGAGAGACAGATCAATGGAACATAACAGAGAATCCAGAAGTAGAGTCACACAAATTTGCCCAACTGATTTTTGACAGTGGTACAAAAGCAACTCGTTAAGAGAAATAAAGCTTTTTCAGCAAATGGTCCTAAAGCAAGTAGACATCTGAAGGCAAATTCTGGCACGCTAAGACGCCACACCCCTGAAGATCCAATCACCAATGGCCAGATGGAAGTACCATCCCTTAAGATCCAATCACCAAAGGCCAGATGGTCACAGCACCCCTTAAGATCCAATCACCAACGTCCAGATGATCATACCACCCCCTTAAGATCCAATCACCAATGTCCCCATAGCAGAACACACCTTACCCCTACTCCGTAAAAACATGCTTCCTCACTCACATGCTGCTGCTCTACCCCTGGAGACAGCCATTCTCTCTTTCAGCCATTAAAATCTCTTGCGTGGGTCTGTGCCTCCCTGAATTATTTCAGGGTAGGGAGGGTTGCGGCGAGATACCCTTCTAACATCCACAGGGAAAAAATAAACCTCCACATAAGTCATAAGAACAAATACTCAGTCCACAGCAACTATCTGACATATTACCTATTTTCCTTACTTGTCTTACTGATTGTGTCTTTCCTGATTAGAGGATAAGCTCCATAAGGACAGGACTTATCTTTATTTTGTTCACTGCTATTCCCAGAGTATAGAATGATGCCTGGCACATAGCAAGTATTTAATAATTATTTACTGAAAAAGATTATGCAAAATATAACATGATGTACAATTATATACATAACATATAGCTATATTATATGATGTGAAATAACTATAAACTCAAAGTATCAGTGACATTCTCAGTGTCCTAAAACTGTTCATTGCTGCTTTCTAATAAGACATTTTAGTTTTATGTGTCACCACAGACTGATGCTTGTCGTAAAATAAAAAGACACTCTTGGTAGTGTATTTAAATAAAGATTTTCCCTCAAGTCTTAACTAAATTATAATTACCTTATTTAAAGCATGTCCAACATGAGGGTCACCATTTGCATAAGGAGGTCCATCATGAAGACAAAATTCTGTCTTTACTTTTCTTTCTCTTTGCCATGAATAAAGCTCTGAAAATCCACATTTCTGTTTAAAAAGAACAATAATGTCTGAAAGTCATATAAATACATACTCCTGAACCTTACCATAGTAACAGCCAACTCCTATTTTAACCCCATCCCGATGTATTCCACTCTAAAACTGAAAAGGCGAAGTTTCTAAAACACACATCTGAGTAGTCATGTCTTAAAACTTTTAAATAGTTTCCTCATAGACTTCAGACATTAAAGTCTAAGCTCTTTACATGGTACACAGGATGCTGCAAAGGTTTAGTATCACTAAATTCTTGGGCACTTTCAGCACTCCCCAGCCTCTGCTTTGCGGTCCAGCCATGCTGAAGGAACTGCAGACCACCTCTCCACACTTACTCCTGATACGCTCTGGCCTCGACGCCAGGCACTCTCTAAATATGAACAACACTCAGTGCAGTCCCAATCCTCTTTCCTTACACGCTGTGTGTGCGCCTTTTGCCACATCACTTTGCCTTATTAGCCCGCTCCCTCATTTGAAAAAATGTTAACACCCATTTCACAGAGCGGAGCCCGTGTGAGAGTTAAATGAGAAAACATTTGAAATTGTCACAGTTCCTGACATACAAAAATACTGAATTAAAACACTTCGAAAAATTAGATGGCCCAAACCGGGTTATGGGTGTAGAAAACCAGATAACTGTTGTAAGAATATTTAGGCTACGCAAAATTCAACCAATAAATCTTAAATATCAGGGATCTTAAAGACTCCAGAATTAAGAAACTAACAAGTGCATCTCTGCCTTAAGTTCAGTCCAGTCTAACAAGGAAACAGACGCACAGTGTAGGAAGGGGACTCAGGAAATCAGTACCGCTGCTTTAGCCTTCAAACGAGTCCTAATTCCATATAGAGACCTGTTGATACCACAAAGGTGAGCTTCAACCTTTCCACATCACAGAATTTTTACTTACATGTGTACACGTCAATTTACTTTTTGCAAGCCACGTGAAAAGTGCCAAAATGCAACTTGTGTTGCCTAGGCTAAAAATGGGACTTAATTCAATGCTGCCATCTGAGCATCTCTAGTTTACGACCTTAAGGTTCTGCTCTGGAACCTGTCAGCACTGAGGGGTCTACCTGGAGGTTTCTTATGTTTTCAGGCCATCAAACATGTGGAAAGTGGACGACTTCCAACTACCGGATCACAACCACCCCCGCCCCAAGTGGCCTGGAGCAGGAGGCCCGGCCCCGCCCCGTCCGGGGTGAGGGTCGGCCGCCCGGGTGTGGCGCCCGGCGGGGCCCGCTTCCCTCCGCGCGCAGGCTCAGGCCTCCCTCTCTAGGCCCCGCTCCTCCGCTCCCGGGCGGGGCGGTACCTGCTGGATCTCCAGCTCCGTGTCAGGCTGCTGGCGGCCCAGCAGCTTCATGGGGAAGCTGGTCTGCGGCAGCAACACAGTGTCCCGGTATCTGCCATTACTCGAGTTCTGCAGCTGGTTACTGGCCCCGGTCACCGGCCGTACCAAAGGCCTCCCTGTCGTCCCTTGCCACCCTGGGAGACAGGGAAGGCGGGGCGGCACCCACAGATTCCGGGCCGCGGCCAGACCCGCTGCGCCCGGCCCGCGAGTGCACAGCCCCCAACGCATGGCGGGCCACCCCCCGGCCTCCCCGTGAGCGCGGGATCTTCGCCCTCACAGGGGCTCTGGGGTACAGGGACCCCGCAGAACCTCGGCGAGGCGGCGGGAGTGCGCACGCGCGCGAGGCACCGACAGCGCAGAGAGCACGGAGCCGCCTCCAGGTCTTGGCTGCGACCGTCGCGGGGCGGGGCTGGCTCCGAGGGGCGGGGAAAGGTGTGGCAGGCGTGGAGCGGCTCCGACTTAATCACAGTGCCCACCCAGTCTTTTTAGAAATATGTATTTCATTTAACCCAATATATCCAAGATAGTATCATTTCATCATGTAATTAACATAAAATCAAAGATAAGTTCTGTCGCATTTTTTTCTCTTCATAGTAAGTCTTCGGAATTGGTATGCATTTTACACATAGGGCGTCTCTCAGTTTGGATTAGGAATTTACCAAGTGCTCAAGTTCACTGTGCTAATGGCTACTTTGGTGGGCAGCACTGCTTTAGACAGTGCAAGGCTGAGTGCCATTATAAATGGACTTGATTATTTTTCAAATTCCCTATATCCCTATTGTGTGTGGCACAAGAACTCTGCTCCTTAAATAGGTTGATGAAAGCCCTAAGTGATAAACAGGCACTTGATTTTGTCTGTATTTTTGGAACCGCAGTACAAATCGGTGAGTTTTCCTGTGTGCTTCAAACAGAAAAAAGAATCCATTAACATGGTCCGTCTGGCCAGGAAGACAGGCACTCTCCCAGGATTTATCAGCAGGCAAAAGGACGCTTAAAAAAAAAAGGTAAGCACTAGTAACACAACTCTGCCAGACAATGCCTTGCCGGGAGCGGAGGTGGAGGCGTCAGGGACCCTCGGAAGCCAGTCCACGGACGCCTAGGTGTTCAAGGTCAAGACGCCGCCTCCGTCGCAGGGAGGTATCACTGACCCAGTTCACATTTTAAGAGTGAACTGTCTATTCAGAGTTCACTAGAAGACACCTGAAACCATAATGAAACTTTATACATACACCTTTTGCTTAGACGCTAGGCGACCTACGCCCACACGATGCTTGGGGAAAACACGGAGAAGCGGATTTCTGGCGGGCTGGGAGCAGAAGGAGACTTCGGCGAAGCGTCTGTTCCGCGCCTGCGCTGAGTTTCCCGCATGCTCAGAAGCTGAGGTGGGTTCGTCCTACACCCCGCTACGGTCTAAGCGACCCGCTGACCGGGAGGAAGCTCGGTAGTGGGCGCAGCGACGGGCCTGTTGCTTAACAACGCGTTTTCTCGTACCTCTGAAGTATCTTTCGCCTGACCTCGTTCCGGGTTTGTCACGGTAAGTTTCTCCCCTGAGGGTCAGGGCCAGGGCCCTAGGCAGATCTGGGTTGTTAACTGGTTCCCTAACTCCACTCCTTTACACACATCTGAGGAAATTTAAGGAGTTTTATGTTTAAAAATCAGAAAACGACTTCTGTGAATCACATTGCCTCTCCAGAAATTACAATTCCGGACTTAGATTGTTGGGTATCAACATTTTAATTATATATCTGTTGCTCCGGGGTCGTCTTATGGCTGTCTGGTACAAAGGCAAGCCTAATCAGTAGGTTCAGTTAGTGCACCCAAATTTAGAGACTTACGCCTAAAATTAAATTTAATTAAAGTAGCAGACATCCTTCCTATTGTCTTTCCCACATATTTGTAGACTTGCTTGATTTATTTAGGTTTTTCTGAAAATATAATTGCTAGTTTGAAAGATGTATTTTTCTCTTGAGATTTTCAAAACCCTTCTAAGAGGTTTTACCACTTTACATCCTCCTAACAATGCTCAGGAGGATGCCTACTTCCTTACACATGCTTATTTTACAAGTGAACAGCCATGTCTCATTGTTTCTGTTTACATTTCTCTCGAGGCTGAGCATTTCATGTATTTAATGGCCATTGCTTTTCTTTTCCTAGGAATTGCCTATTCGTATCCTTTGCTCATTTTTATATTGGATTATTCATCTTTTACATAATAATATATAAAAGCCCTTTACCTAACACAAACTAGCTCACTTGTCTAGTATGTGAAACAAACTTTTTTCTCATTTTGTCAACCATCTGTTTGCTTTGTTTAGGGTATTTTGACCATATAGGCATTTTAATTTTTATTCAATCAAGATTATTAATATACCTTTTATAGATTCTTAGTTTTGTCATATTAAAAAGTCCTTCACCAAATTTAGAAAACATTTCACCCACATATATTCCCATATTTTTATGGTTTCATTCTTTACTTTTAAAGTCATGCATTAATCTGGAATATATATTGATATAAAAAATACAAAAAGGTTCCAGCATTTTTTAAAAGAGATTACTAATTGTCCCTGCCATTTAGGCACAAATGACTTTCCTCCATGATATGAAATACCACCTTCAGTGCATTTGGATCTGTCACTGGAATTTATTTATTTGTCTCTTCTGCCCAGAACTGAATTGTTATTATTACAACAAATCATGTTTTGATAGCTGGTCAGGAGAGTTATCTCAGTTCATTGTTCTCTTCTCAGAATTTGCTCTGTTATGCTCACAATTTTATTTTTCCAAATGACCTGAACTTTAGCATCATTTGGTCAGGTTCCAAAGATAAATAATCATAGTATTTTGATCAGTTTTTAGATCTTAAACCTCATTTGCTCACAACCTTTATATTGAATTGAAGATACCTCTCCAAGATTATGAGAAAAATGGATTATTTGATTCTTGTTTTTATCCTTCTGATCTTGCCCTGTTGGCAACTGTAAGGATTGCTTACACAGTGGGATGTTATGTTGAGGGCCTTAAGTGGCACACAACCTTTTTCACATGTACTGTAAGCCTCAAGCCCAGAATGTTAAGAAAAAGAACTTACACTGTGAGTCAGGGTAATGTTAGTTATCATGTTCTATCTTCAAGGTCAAAATAATGTTGCAGAAGCTATAGGAATTTTTTGCCCTTACTACTGCCCTAATGTCCCACAGGGTAGCCTGTAGTAAGGACAGTCATAATAATGGTTAGCAGTATTATTTAGCGCTTATCTTGTGCCAGGGACCATTGTAAATGCTTTACATATGTTATGCATTCAATAATCACAGCAAACCTATCTATAGATACTATTGTTAGCTCCATTTTAGAGATTAAGACACAGAGAATTTAAGTCACTTTCTTAAGGTCACACAGCTTGTGTGTGCCAGAGACAGGATTTGAACACAGGCAGTTGGCTCCAGGGCCTGTGTCTTTAACGACTGCATTGTTTTTTATTAAGCTCTCAGAAACACCTGTTCACAAAAGGTAGCATTTTGGGACCCAGAAGGTGTAAAACTGGTAGAAAGGGAAGTACAATGGGTATAATGTCAGCTGCTGTGCGAAACTTACCAACTTGCAGGGAGCTTTTTGGCCTCCCTCTGTATCCCTATACCGTCAGCAAGTAATTCTGATTTGGGCCTTGGGAGGGGGCACAATTTAAAAGGCTAATAAGAACCTTTTTTTTCCCCCGTAAATTTCATATTTGGATATTATGATTAGCTACATTTCTCTACACCAAGAGCCAAAATTGCATTCACTTGTTTAAAAAAAGTATAAGAAAAATATTTCTAGGGGAAGGTAATATTTCACTACTAACTCAGTTTGGGCCAAAGCAGTCTTTCAGAGAAAATGGTAGAAATATTTTCTTATTTGCCAAGTAAAAGTGATTTGCAGGATCTCTTTATGAATCACTATTATGCTTTACATCAAACCTAACTTTTTACATTCTTAGAAAGCTGATGTTAGCTTCAAATAGTGGTTCATCAATATAATATACACTTTCTGAGGAACAAAGTATAAAGGCAAGACCTAAAAGTTTTTCTTTGAAAGAAAATAATGTGGCTCTGGCAAACATAAAGGGCAGTGGCTTAATCATACATGATGCCTGGCAAGGCTGGACTGATTACTTAAATGGCTGAAAGGTGCACGATATCTGTCAGAAGTCAGAACAACACTGTACATTGAGGGAAAATGATCTGCCTCTCATAATTGGCATTTTGTATAACATGGTAACTGAATGAGCATACCGACACATGTGAAAATATCTTCAGCAGTGAAGACATCCGGGCAGTGCAGACTACCTTTTCCAACGCAGAATGAATCAGATGTCTGGCTGGTCAACAAAGTGCTTGCTAAATTATTCTCCTCGTTTTATATTTGAGGTTTTCCTGAATTAGTAATTATCATAACCAGTTTTTCCACGTGTTAACACCTAGCATGCCAAGAAAATGGATCCAGCCTGAAAACGACATAATAAGATAAACAATTCAAATACATAGAAACCCATTTTATTTTCATCTTAATTCTAGACACCTGTTGGTCACAGTATGGTATTCATTACCTTATATCAATTTCAATCCTGTTCCTGCTGAATGGTTTCAAACACTCACTTGTTCATTGTCTCAGTTATGTTCATAATCCCTGTGAACAGAACGTGGATGATAGTAAAAAGATGTAAGGAGGTTAAAAGGCACATCAAATCAAATATGCAGTGAGAAACTGGTGGTAAAATGATAACTTGCTGAACTGAGGTTTATATGTATTGTGTATCCTTATTGTATTGAAGTAATGTTGACTTGATTTGATTAGAGGTGGGAGAGTTTTTATCATGGATTGGTTCCCAGTACTGAGCACACTGAGACACAGATAAAGTACAAGAGGTTTATTAGAGAGTATTCTTGGGATGTATATTATAAACTTTAGGTTACAATATTTTACCCTCAGCCCACCAAAATATTAGCTCCTTAAGGAAAGATGTTTTATCTTATCCCTTGAAACACCTCCCACAGCTTTTGCACATTACACATCTCATACATAGAACTTTCTCACATGCTCATAGGCCTGGACCAGTTTCCCCAAGCTTCAAAATATCCCATCTGCAGAGAGAAAGAAGACCAATAAAATTTAGTGAGAGAGCTAACGCTGAAATAGAGTTTTTCCAAGCCTCTTAGAAAATATTTACTATAGAATCTACACCATTAAGCACC